TCCTGCACTTTTAGGAAGGATAAATTACAACTTTCATTACAGCTGACTGTATTCCAAAAATACATCATACAATGAGTAGTCTTAGTTTCAGATGCTAGAGTAGGTTTTGGTAAGGAAAATTTCTTGGTTTGCAGCTAGGTATGTAATGACTGTGATTAAAAGGGGTCTACAACTATTGAGCTTTCTAACTGAATTCCATTCCTGTGATTTAGGTATACTTTTATTATTCTTCCTGTTTCATCATAAAAGAAGTATTAGGTAATTTCAGGACTTCATTTTCTGAAATTCTGACATATCCTTAAGTGTGTTAAAATCGGAAGCCTTAAGAAGAATTGTAACTTTGTTTTACATATATACAACTCCATTTACCACAGCAAAATATTTTTTCTTTTGATCAATTTGAGATAAAATCAGCCTTTTGCTTCTTTTCTTTATAACAGCATAGTGTATGTAAACAGGATAGCAGTCAAATCTGCACCAAAAAAAGGGATAAAATTCTTTAAAATTCTTGAAGAACTTTTGTCAGCTGTGAAACATCTAAAGGAGACAGCCAACATTCTTGTCTGATTATAAAGAGGTTATTACTGTGAGTAATTACTCGTCTGATTGTAAAGAGGTTTTTACTGTGAGTGGTCTTCCTATGAACACAGAACAGCTGGATTTTTTCATATTCATTATTAATTTGTGCTGTTATTTTTTAGGCTAGTGGTTTAAGCTGGAACTATTTTGGGGATGTTCGTTTTGCAATAAACATATAATATTTCATCCCTTTGTCAAAAAATAGAAAAAAATGGAGTCCAGAGTTTTTTTCTTCTATATACACGGTTTTTGTAGAGATAGAACTGGTTTTTGTATCTATCTTTAAAATGAGTGCAGATTTCTTAATGTAAGTAGGCATAATATATATTTTGAGGCTATAATTTATTCTGTGTTGTATTTCTTTTTGCTAAATAGTATTAATTCATCTTTGATATTCTTTCACAATTTTTCTAGAGTGGAGATACAGTGCTGATTGGGGCTGTTAGAGGAGGTCATGTTGAAATTGTGAGGGCCCTGCTCCATAAATATGCTGATATAGACATCAGAGGCCAGGTAAGTACAACAATGTAAATGTCAGAGTAGTTCTTAAATAGGATGTGAATTTGAATACCAAACGATAATACTGTGTTTCTGAAAACAGGGCTTTAAAAACTTGCTCAGTCTGCTCTGTAGGAAATTGATTCCCATCAGACCTTAAAAATACATCATGTTGCTGTGCAGTTTTTAAGATATAAGATGTATGTAATTGTAATGATTTGTTAAGCAGTAGATTTTTTTCAGTTAATTTGTATAGTAGCTGAAAAGCCAAAGATGTAAATTGGAGGTTCATCTACGCTACTGAACAGATTTAAAATAACGAAATACTTTAAAACTCCCTTAATATTATTTTAGTTATAATTTTAATACTTATTATTTTGAATTTAAGACCAATATATTGAAATACAATACACCTTAGATACTATCTGTTGTCAGTGCAGTTCTGTTGCTGTGCTTGGTTGGTTCTTGTCTCCTTCACTAACTTCCTTTCTTGTGTTAAGCAGTGTTGTCAGTGATTTCCATGTTTTCTACCTATCCCTTCTTTCTTTTTGTTTTTTTTTGTCCTTTGACTAAGTTATTGTTTTTATTCTTCTACCGAAAAGCTCTCTTACTCAGCACGGTACTTGTTTATATTGTTACATTCGACTTGCTTTTGCTTGAAGCTATTCAAATTACTCTGCTGGTAGGCACATATGTTCTGCTGAGTTTGAACACAAAACTAACTTGTCACTGAGAGCTGCAAAGATTCATGCAGTGCCTCTTTGAGAAGCCAAGAAACTTTTAGTTTGGAGAAAAAGTAGTGTTTGGATCTCTTCCTCTAACCTGCCTGCTATTGGAAACCTGGAACTGTGTGTCTCAGCTTCTAGCTGACATGGGTCTGAAAATCTGGAGCTTTTCAGATGTCTTGATATGACCAAGGCAATACAGGAACAGCAAGAGGACCCAGCCTTCTTAGGGCTGGGGAAGTGTGAGGGTGTCTGTGGAGCCATTTGCAGTGGTTAATCTAGGGAATAATTTGTGGCCTTGTTGACACAGCAGGAGTGAGTACCATCAGAGGAAGACTCTGGCCGTGCATTTCAAATCTTCAGATTAGGACCAGCAGTATCAAAATCAGCGTTGAGCGCTAGTGTTTAGCAACTCCTGTGCTGTTGGTCACTGCAGCACCTGTCTGCCAGCCAGACCTGTTCTGGGGAGATTTGCTGCCTGCCCAAATCTGTGATGTTCCAGAAAGATTTCTGAGTCTTGTCCAGGCTTCCAGCAACTGTGTTCCTTGCTGCTTATTCAGTCATACGGACAGTAGTCAGTGGAGACCTTGAGCAGATAAAATGTGACTATAGGGCTCTGGGAGCAAGTGTTGGGGCTCAGGTGGTGTTCTCCTCAGCCCTTCTGGTAAGGAGGAAAGGGCCCAGCTGGGAATATTTGGCAGACTGGTGCCTAGCTGTGCAGCTGATGTTACTAGCGAGGAGCCAGCTTCCTCAGGCTGGTGTCTTGTTGGAAGCCACTTGACTGAAGGACAGAGGACATGAAATCCAGGTGACCAGAGAGGAAAGAAATCTTGATGACCAGGCTTGTTAAACTGTTGAGAAAGACTTTAAACTCAGTTTGCTGTGAAGCCCATGAGTGGGGAGAGGAAGAGCTGCAAATGAAAGAAGCGAGCAAGGGAAAAGGCTGCAGGGGGGACTTTGACATTCCTGCTTAGATACAGATCTGTGTTCAGAGGCTTTTCTTACATGTTTCTACACAAGTGTGCATCAAACAGAAAGAGTTTTGGTGCAGTCGCTAGGCTACAGAAAGAGTGCAGGCATGGAGCTTTGTGGGGATAGCGTGCATTGCTGGGGGCGGGCAGACTACACAAGCAGGTTTGCAACAATCAACCATTCCCCATGGTTCATTGAAACAATGTAGTGATCTGCATTCTGGTACTTTGTGTTGACTTTCATGTCCATCTGCTTCTATAGCTTTGCAGCTTGCATGGGCTGTTTTTAGGCTAGTCAACCAGTTCAACAGTTTTATTAGGCTATACTGTACCATTGAGAACAAAATGGAAGCATGTTTTAAAGTCCTGGAAGTGGTTTGCACTTCCATGTTTTAATAGGAAAGAAAATTTTTTTTTTTTTTAAAGCCACAGAGAAACATAACTTATATAGTAGGGATTAAAAAAGACAACAGTCTGGAAAAAGTTGTTTTATTTCAAAGAAAACTTGTATATTTGAGTTGCAACTGCACTCACAGATAGTTTTGGAAACTTTCAAGACAGGTTGAATCTACTTGGATTGTTAAAACTCTTAGTATATTTTGCACGGGTTTTTAAAATAGATTTGTGTTCTCTAGCCAGATTTCCATTCCCCCCGCCCCCCCGCCAAAGTTCTATTGGCATGCCAATTAGACTTGGTGACGTTTCCGTTGCCCTAAGCTGCGCTAAAATTTGCTGTATTTTATGCTGTTTTCAATATAGTGGTTGTACTTTGTATACAGTTTTTGAAATTAATCCAACTGAATGAAAGTATTGTTACCATTTAATACTCTCTTTTTTTCAGGATAATAAAACTGCTTTATATTGGGCAGTTGAGAAGGGAAATGCTACAATGGTAAGGGATATCTTGCAATGCAACCCTGATACTGAAACATGTACAAAGGTAAAGATTAGAATTTTAATTTAATCGCTTTGTTTAACATCTTTTCTTTTCTCAACTCTTATGTGACGTTAACATCATAATACCAAACTCATTTTTTGTGAAGTGTTGCTACCTTGCACATTGTAAAAAACAAAACAAAAATTTCTTCTGAAATACAGAATTTATTTTCAGCAATGGTAATGTCCCCTTTGTTGATAAACATCACCTACTACTAAAACTCATAGCAGGGTCAGTGTGGATACTTTACCTCAGCACCATTGACATGACCAGCAGCAACGAGTAGAGAGCAGGTGCTACTACAAACTGAGGAAGGAGGTTTCTGATATTACTAAGCATGAAAGTTTAGACCACCATTTATTGCATGTGCAGGAATGAAAAAAAAAAAAATAGAGGAAGTAGTATGTACAGCGGTGAATTACCTCTCCTATGAGTCTCTATTCAAATATCTTGTATTATATCTGAATCTTGTCTTTCTCTGTTTGACACTGTTATTAACAGAAATGTATTTTGTTCTGTGATTGCAATCAATCTAGAATACAGGATCTGTGATACTTTTTCCGTAACACGTGCTGAAGTGTTGTTACTTGCACAGTAACATATTTCATTTAAAAATTCTCTTAAAAGTTTGGGATTTAATTTGTTATACTGTCACTAGTTTTTGCTTGGTTTTGAGTGTACAGAGAAGATTTTTTTATTATGCTTACTTTTGCCTTTTAGGACGGAGAAACACCACTTATAAAAGCAACCAAGATGAGAAATATTGAAATAGTAGAGCTTCTTCTGGATAAAGGAGCTAAGGTGTCTGCTGTAGACAAGGTAAAGAATACTTTTTTCATTTGTTTTAGTACTTCTAATCTTTTTAATTTTGCAGCAGAATTTTGTGGTGAGCTGTCAAGGCTAATACAGAAAGAGAGCTTCCCATATGCTTAATAATTAAATAGACCATAATACTTAAATATAAATAAATTCCTACTATTAATGTATTGATTTTTTTTTGTTTGTTTGTATTAGGGTACTTTTAGTAATAAGAAAATTAAAAATTCCAGATCAGGAATAAAAATTTCACAGATAAGAATACTAATTTTTAATACACTTGAAAAAGAGCATAGAGAATGGTTTTTATTTGTCACTGATATTTGTTTTTGAATAATAAACATTAAACTAAGCAATGCCAAGGACAAATGTAATGGTTTGTTGCTGTCCTTATGCTTTACCTACTTTGACTATATACCTTTTAAATACAGGAACATTTATTTGATACTTTTTTAACCGCTTAGTGTTGTATTTAGGGTAAATAAGTAATAATGTGGGTTTCAGGTGATTAGAAACTTTCACCAGAAAGCTTTTTGGAAAAGTCTGAGCAGATATTGAAATAATTTTAACAAGCAATATCTCTTGTTCCAAAAAAATCTCTGAATTTGTTAGTAGACGCTTGTTTTCATGTTAGTAGACGACAGTTTTCATGAACCTTAAGATATTATTATAAAAGTTTAAGGTATAAGATAGTGCCTCAGATTTAGCATAAGAACTACCTTTTCACATGTCTTTTCTGAAACTTTTGTAATGCTTTTTCAAGGGGAAAAAACGCTTCCTGTAAGGCATTAATGCCGTTGAGAATACCTTAAGATGTATTTCAAGTAAATAACACATCTGAAACAGTGTGGAACATATATTCTGTTCATGATCTTAGAAATTCACATTAAATATTACTAGTTTTTCACTTAATTGCAGAAAGGAGATACTCCACTTCATATTGCCATTCGTGGAAGAAGCCGTAAACTTGCTGAATTACTCTTAAGAAATCCAAAAGATGGTAGATTGCTTTATAGACCCAATAAAACAGGAGAAACGCCTTACAATATTGACTGTAGCCACCAGAAGAGTATTTTAACACAGATATTTGGAGCCAGTAAGTTTAAGTATTTATTTTATTTTTTCCTCGTATATTGAGAATCCAGTTTATTCAATTCTGTATTAAAAATGGTAGTTAGATTTTTTTTTTTTAATGTTGCAACTAATGGGAGAGTTTTAAAAAAAAAAAACAGTTGGCAAAAAAAGTCGTCATTCTAAAAGCCTAACAAAGGTTAAATGTACTTTTTATTTTTGACTTTTGACATTGGATGCTGTGCAACTTCTGTTGATCATTTTGGTTTTAATTAGATCTTGCTTGCATAGGAATTATTTTCTTTGATTTGCTGTGATTTGGGATTTTGTTTTAGTCTTTTGTGGTAAACTCTAATGGTAATTACATAACATTTATATGAATGATTTCAATGACTTTGAACAAGAATGTACCAATAACAGCTATTATATGGGAGAAGTATATATACAATTACAGGTGAACCTGCCATGATTTATGTATGAAAATTGTCATACTGAAGAGATTTCTTAAAGCAAAGTTCTGTAACATAATATTCATACTACAGGACACTTGTCTCCCACGGAATCTGACGGTGACATGCTGGGATACGATCTGTACAGCAGTGCTTTGGCTGATATTCTGAGTGAACCAACCATGCAACCACCTATCTGTGTAGGCTTATATGCACAGTGGGGAAGTGGAAAATCTTTCCTGCTTAAGAAACTGGAAGGTAAAAGTTGATTTAGCCTTTTCTATAAATTCAAATCTGTCTATGAAAAGCATCACGTGGGAGTTACTAGTTTTTGCAACAGCCATTGGTCTGTGTAATATGATATCCAGTCTCTGTTTCCGTAATGGAAGGATTTAATTTTTAGTGTGGTCAGTTAATCCATAGGTTGCTTTGTTCATTTGTGCGATGTCAAGACAGTCTTTAAGTGCCGCTGTCTATTGTCTTGTGGATTTCCTGCAGCAGTGATTCTGCATTTTAGGTACTGCTGCAATATACCTTGCTGGGGGTGTTTGTGTGTCATATCAGGTTCAGACCCTTTTTACTGCAGTATTTATTTATTGTGCCTCCTATGTGTCTTTTTTTTTTTTTTTTTTAAGTTTAAGAACAAATTCCAGGCTACTAGTATTTTTACTCTGCAGTGTATTTTCTCTGTATTTAGTTTTCTGCCCCTTTCCCGTTACTTTGAGCTTTTTGAACTTTCTGAAGTGACAGGAAGGCAAATGCAGTATATGAAGACAGTCAATATTTTTCACAGTATACAGTTTTAGCTTTTTCTAACAAAGGATGTTTTTCTGATATGTTTCAGTACAATTCAAAATACTTTTACCAGTCTTGATGTTTCTTACTTTCTGTGATTTCTGTGTTTTTTAAAAGCTTCCATGTCAAAATGGAGTCTCTGTTCCTTTTGTTCACCTCATCCCCCATGTCATAAACAAAAAGCGGTGTGAATTTTTGACGGTGATTTTTATTGTAGATGAGCTCTTATGTTTTTAAACCACTTTTTCAGTATTTTCTTCCTGTTCCTCATTCATCATCTGGGTTGTGTATTTAATGTTTCTTATTCAGTATACCATAAATAAGTTTCTTCAGCAATTCCTGTTTTAGTAAATATGGATCAACAAACAGAAATAAATACTGAAGCCCTTACATTGTACTGTTATATCTGACTATTTGAGCAATGTGGTCTAGGTTGCAATGATGGAGGTTTTGGGGTGTGTGGGGTGGTTTTTGTTTGGTTTTGGGGTTTTTTTTCACAGATATGGTGGATTTATTTTCCTTGGTGTCATAAAATAAGTTTTAAACTTTTGAAGGAGGATAGGAAATGGCATAACTTTTAATATGCCTTTAAAAGTAGAAAAATCTGCAGCAAACAGTGTAAGTATTATGTAATTAAATGGCTGAATTCATTGCATGGATGAAAATTTCAGGTTTTGTACTAATGTTTGAAGAAGAATTGAAGCATCATTGTCTTTTTTTTTTTTTAATCAATAACAAGGAAAAGTTATACAGTCTAGTGAAAAAGTGTTTCTTTTCAAAGATCATTATAATGCTTTTTTTGCTTTCTGTTCTAAAATGATTTAACGTGCTAAGAGGTCTTTGTCTTTTTGTTTTAGATGAAATGAAGACTTTTGCAGGACAGCAGATTGAACCTCTGTTTCAGTTCTCCTGGCTTATTGTATTCCTCACACTTTTGCTGTGTGGAGGTTTGGGTTTATTGCTTGCTTTCACAGTGGATGCAAAGCTTGGAATAGCGGTGTCACTCAGCTTGTTAGCAGTTCTCTACATTTTCTTTAGTAAGTCTTACATGAAGTTTGTGAAGGTTTTGATCTGGTTTTGGAATTCAGTATTGTTTTGTAGACATGCTTTGTGATTCCGCAAAAATACTACATGTTTTTGTAGAAAATAGGACCCCTTCAGACCCTTTCCTTGTGTTTCGCATGTAATTTGTGAGAGGACATTCTTGAAAACAAAGAAGAATTTTGCACAGTAACGTCATTATGTTACTCTTACTGTTCTCATTTTTAGCCATAACTGTTAAAAATTCATTCAACTCCTTTTGCACAACTCCATGCCTTGTGTGTTCAAATTTCATTGTTCTTTCAGTTGTGAACACTGACTGAAACGTAGACATAACATCTGGTTGAATTTTTCGTATTTTAGCTGTAATTTACTTTGGTGGCCGAAGAGAAGGTGAGAGGTGGAACTGGGCCTGGGTGTTAAGTGCAAGGTTGGCAAGACATATTGGATATTTAGAGTTGCTTCTCAAACTCATGTTTGTGAACCCACCAGAATTACCAGAGCAAACCACTAAAGCCTTACCTGTCAGGTTAGTTTACTCTTTTATTTACATTTATTTACTCCTGAATGAATAATTCAGATTCACTTTGATACTTTTCAAACTGCATATTAATGTGCATGTTTATCTTCCTATGAAAAGCTATTGAAAAACAATAGCCCTAGAAGATCATGTAGTTAAATTTTTCAGTGTGAAGATGATGATAGTGTTTTTAAGAAAAACTCTGTGTCGAAGTCAGTGAAAGTTACTGCTTTTTAGTATTGGGGTTTTGACTTTTGACTATCATACTAATAAAAATTTACAACAGACAAAATAAGAATTTAATTTTCTGGTATGGCTTGCTGTGTATTACGTCTAATGCTTGTTTCACTGATTACTTCTGTTAAGATTATTTTGAGGTTTTTCTTTTCTTTTTTTCCTTCTCTCTTATTTTTTTCCTGTAAGCTTCTAGTTTACCTGAAAGCAAAAAAAATTATGCCATGCATTTTGTAATTTTGTTTACTGCTATTGTTTACAGACTTGTATTTTAGCCTCATGGTGCTCTTATGTGATCTTGTTCTTCTGTATTTTTTTAATCCTCCGTAAATATTTGCAAATAGCTCACAATGTAATTTTTAAAATACTTGTCAATATTATGTTTTGACATCATAAAGATATTTTTATGTTTTTACTGCTATCTAAGGTGCCCTCAGCGATGCGATCATTTATCTTTTTAAGAAGCAAGTTTTAGAATAGGAAGTGAGGCAAAGAAGAGGTTGGTAACAGGAGAAGAAATAAAGAAATAAATACTAAAATTCCATGTAGAGTTTAAAAAAAATTATGTATTTAAATATTTTACATTTTGTGCCACTTCAAAAAACTTTTAGCTGCAGAGATGCAGGAAAATTTTTGTTTTGGTTGCCAGAAAATATTTAAAGTTTTCTAAAGTATACAAAATACATGTGTTTTTCTCTTTCAGATTTTTGTTTACGGACTACAATAGACTGTCCAGTGTAGGTGGAGAAACTTCATTGGCTGAGATGATTGCTACCCTCTCTGATGCATGTGAAAGGGAATTTGGTTTCTTAGCAACAAGGCTATTTCGAGTTTTCAAGACAGAAGATACACAAGGTTTTTATTACCTGAATGACATTTCCGATTATTCCATCTGAATGTACTGTTATCAGGGGTTCTGTTTTCACATTGTAAGCTCTTTTTAGGAACTGTTGTAGCCATGCAGAAATTCATACAGAAGGGGAAACTCTTTGTATTGGAGAGAAAAATGCCCTGGTTTTTTTTGCTCATCTTGATTTTATTAATATCATACAGGAGTATCTTCTGTGATGTATAGTTTTTAGAAGTATATATGGAAATGCATGTGTGTATATATATATATAATGTCCTTTTAGATGCAGTGTGGTATTTTTCTATAGCAGTTAAGTCATTGTGTCTGAGTCAAATCAAGGAAAAAGTAGACTTTTGTATATTGCTAAAAGAAGTTTCCGTTTAGTTTATTGTGTTTTAATTCAGAGCTTTTATGAGTGACCACTGGTTATTCTTGGAAATAATAAATGTACAGAGCATGTTGGTCCAAGGCCATAAATTGCTGTGATCCGTGCTGGTAAGATGGGATGAAATATTCCTACTTGATCCAAATGGACCTTATTTTTTCTGTCCCATCTGTAGATTTCTTGGAAAAAAACATGCAGAACAGAGTATGATATTGTGAAGAAAGGGAGTTCTTGAGGGTAGCTTTCAAGTCATAGATGACTTATTTCTACTTTGAGTTCGGTTTCAGTCAGTTGCTTCTCATTTCATTTTGACCTTGACTACAAATTGAGGAATCTGTTAGGTGCTGTCTCCTTTAACAAAGTAAAATGTTTAGACTCTCCTGTCTTGCAGAGGGTGGAAAAAACCATGCTATGTGCTGAACACAACTTAGGCTTCATTGTTCTTTCTCAAATTCAGTGAATGTTCTTTATGAAAGTCATATGTGGAATTTTTCACCCTTACTTTCCGTATTAGACATTCTGCAGTTCTCCTCCTTAACCTCAGTGAAAAAAACTTTTATGATGCTGTAGTTTCTCCCAAAATTGACTTGAGAATGGCACTGACTAGTAGTGCTGGCTTCTTGTGATTATTTGCAGTAATCATCTTTTCCCTTTCATTTGTAATCTTACATTTCTCTTGTATTGCTTGGTTCTGTTGCCTTCCTGTGCTCTTCTTAATTATCTAATTGGGTGTGTGGGGGTTTAATTATTGTATCTATTTTATGATCTTGCATATCTTCTCCTTGTTTGTAGATATTTGTGGGTCTAGGTTTGTAGGTTTCTTGTCTCTAGATATTCCTAGAAATTCCATGTAGGTTTCTTTTTAAGTCTCCTGTATCTTTAATTTTTGTTATGTCTGTAAACTGGCAGAGAAGCCCATTCAATTGCCATTTCATTGTTGATGATTCCCAAGTCTCTCTCTAATCCAAGTCTTTATCTTTCCAGCTAGAGGAAGCTTACATCCCTACTTCAAAATTCCTAGAACTGAATGTAATTATAACTGAGCTGTTATTCTTCTCTTCTTGCTTCTTGCTCCTGTCATTATGCATTGCTGTGTCCTGCATCACAATCCTGTCTGTCACATACGTCATTAATGTGAAATACCTTTCAGGCTCATGCCCCAGGCTAGAATATCATACGTGGCCCGTGTATAAACCTTGGATATTCTTTCCACGTGACATATTTAAAGATTGATTTTTTTCCTGTTCCAGTTCAAATACTGATTTTTAGCTGTCATCATTTGGCATCAGATTACTGCTGTGTTCTGTTCTTTTTTTATCAACAAACGTGTACAGAAGATGTGAATCTTCTAGATGTGTACAGATCCTAAAGGCAGAGGCTGCTACTTTGGAAAAAAAGCTCGCTCTTTGATCATCATTTTAGCTGTGCTAACCTACAACTGCAGTATTTCTTTCTCTTAAGGCCTTATCAATCCAACTGAAGTCAGGAGGTCTGGATTCTCTTCTGAGGCCCTTGTGAACTCTCCAGACCTTACATACTACTGTCCTCCCTTGTTTGTGTATGTTTTAGCATACAAGAAAGGATAGTCTTGGGTTGTAGCTTGCAATTTTAATTCTCTAATGGCACTGTTATTACTAGATTACGTAAGTATCATGTTTCTGTTCAAGACAGAGTAGTTTGCATACTGTTTTCATATGATTTACTTGCATAAATACACTTTACTGAGAGACGTCACAAAAGGGATGATACTACTGAAATGAAATCTATTTAATAAAGATAATTTTCATCCAGTGTGGATTTCTTGAAACAGTGGAAATAAACTGAAAATGAAAGGAATATTTCTGCTTCATAATTTCCAAGAATTTTGGCAAATTTAGACAATTTTTTTCACATTTGTGACTGGATGGTAGCACTGCAGTAATCTTTTGTACAAGTTGGTGCGTTACGAGAAGTATGCAAGTTTTTTGTACCTGTAATTACTTTTTTTTTAAAACATTCATTTTAACTGCAAATACTTGTTTCCTAGGTAAAAAGAAATGGAAGAAAACTTGCTGCCTCCCATCCTTTGTGATTTTCCTGTTCATCTTGTCTTGCGTTGTTTCTGCAATTGCCCTGCTGGCGATTTTTAACGTAGAACCAGCCAACATGACAGTGAATGTTGTTCTTATATCAGTTACCTGCGTTGTTGGTTTGGCCTTTATCTTGAATTGTCGCACGTGGTGGCAAGTGATGGATTCAGTTTTGAATTCTCAAAGAAAACGTCTTCACAATGCTGCCTCCAAGCTTCACAAGTTGAAAAGTGAGGGGTTCATGAAGGTAGGCATTTATATGAATTGGCCATTAAAAGCATTGAAACAAAGACCCAAACCTGTAGCCGTCTTAAGATGGGGCACCATATATTTAATCAGGCCAAGTCTTGCAACATTAAAATGAGCCTGGGTGAGTTTTTACTGAAGGGAACACTTCTGTTCCACTGGTAATTATGCTTAGTGTATGAGATCTGTCTGCTCAACCTAGAATGTTAAATTTGTCTTAAGTTGTCAGTTTCTAATTTTATTTTTGTGGGGAGGAAGATACTAGGAAAACAGTTGTTCTAAATGATCAGTATTTAGTAAAAGCTTGCTTTAGACTATAAGATTGGAAAGAATAACTTTTAAAATACTTTAAAGGTGAAAAAAATAAGCCTAACTTTGGCTGACTGCAAGACCACTTTACTAAGAAAGGAGTGATAGCACTGAGAGAACATTCCAAAACAGTTCTCATATTTAATGAAAAATAATAGAAAATACTATTGTTTTACTAGGTGGTATCTAAACTGATAAAAAATGTACTATATCAGGCTGTCATTGGATATCCTAGATGCTCCTATTTGAAAATAAACTTTAGCATCATGATGGTTACCTCAGTAGATTACAGCTAATACATTGTATAACAATATGTTGTGCAAATATTTTTGTAGCACAGAATACCTTATTTGTGTCTTGCTACTGTTTTTCTTGACAATTGTTTTCTGAGTGGTATTTATCTGGCATAACTTTAGCCATTTAGTACTTAGATTCACCCTTTGCAATCAAAAGAGAGAAATGGGTGTTTCCAGAGAGTTATTTATATGGCTTCTGTCATCTTAATGTGCACATTCAAGATGAATGTAGTGGTGAATAGGTCAGATTTTAATGTCTGCCTGTTGTTGAAATTAGGGCAGGTGAATTCCAGCTTTGTTTCTATATTAACGGTAGTCTTTAAATGTGTAACTTAATGTTGGAAAACTTAGGATATGCAATCTGAAGATTTCTTGAATAGGTGTGACAGAGCATTAGAGTAATAGCATAATTCCTTAGCTGGAAGGCAGATAAAAAATTTTAGTGTACATTTTCTACAAAAAAAGTAATTTTTGAGGATTAGCTGAAGCTATGAATGCTCTTTTGTCTACTCTTGAAATACTGATTTAAAGTGCATAAATACTACTTTCTTTTAAATAACCTTGTAATGGAATTTAAATAAGGATAGTTTGTTACATTAAAGTGGAATATGCGGTTCTGCTGTATGTTTTTGTGCAAATAGGAAATTAAAATTTTGGAACTGACATTTTAGGACTTTCACTTTGGTATTTATAAATGTTTATTTTTGAAATCTTATGTAAGTATTTTTGGAACAAGTAACAATCTGCAAAAGGAATGATATGCATTTGTGTGAGTTTTAAGTATCATAGAGATGTCTCTTCCTTCTTTGCTTTTCATTTTTATAGGTTTTGAAATGTGAAGTGGAACTGATGGCCAAAATGGCAAAAACCATTGACAGCTTCACTCAGAACCAGACAAGGCTTGTTGTAATTATTGATGGATTGGATGCTTGTGAACAGGACAAAGTTTTACAGATGCTCGATACTGTGAGTGGGATCATTTTATAAAGATGATCTTTTCCGTAGATGAGCTTAAATACTTTACAGTTATTGTGTATTTTCTGTAGAAAAAAGGCATGTATATGGAGTCTGTGTGTTGTAGTCTTTTAACATTTGTGTACATTGACATAACTATAACACTAAGAGTAATGAGTTTTAAAAGTTGAAAAATAGTTCCCAGTAAGACTGTACACGTTAATACTTTTGAAAAGTTTTGAAGTAATCAGATGTAAATTACTGGAAATTAATATCCTGTTGAAACAAACTTACAATGTTTAGAGAGCTTTTTGATACTTACTTTTGAAGTACTTTAGATGAAATACTTAAATACTACATGTTTGGGGCTGCTAGGACATTACTGCATGTTATCTTCTTGATGATGACTTCCACTGTAACTACTACTGCTAATTTGTCAAGTATGCTTACTTCTAATTATGGCTAAGTTCCTAGCATTAGATATCTCACACTGAAGAAACTGACATCTCTATACGTCTCTTGTCCTATCAAGTTTATAACTGGAACAGAATGAATATAAAATGTTAAGTCAGATGTTGAAATGATCCATAGTTCCTATCATGAATTATTATTAACAAGGTGTACTGTCTACTTTTTTTACAGGTGAGAGTCTTATTTTCAAAAGGCCCATTTATTGCTATTTTTGCAAGTGACCCACACATTATTATAAAGGCTATTAACCAGAATCTCAACAGTGTTCTACGTGATTCAAACATAAATGGACATGATTACATGAGAAACATCGTCCATTTGCCTGTTTTTCTGAACAGCCGAGGGCTTAGTAATGCAAAAAGACTGATGGTAGCTTCGACAACCAATGGAGATATTCCTTATACAGATAGTGCAGGTAAGGTTATGCTGGAGGATGATATGAAAGTTAAAAACTAATGTTCCAAAAATCTGGGTTTTGGAACAAACTGTTTAAATAATTGACAGATCATTAATGTTATTTTATAGATCAGTCAAATGCGTATGAATGGAGAAAATACCTGCCTTTTGTTTTCCTTTCCATAGGATTACATGAAGAAGTTGACAGGAGAGTTTCTCAGAACAGTCTTGGAGACATGACCAAGCTTGGTAGCAAAACTGCTCTCAATAGGCGGGTGAGAAAGATTTTTTTTTTTTTTTTTTTTTTTTTATCCTAAATAAAAAACTGGCAAATAACTTTTCTTTTCTATTCTTTTTTTTTTTCTTTCACATTTTTAATGATGTCAACTTCAAAGACTTATCAAACCATTCCTATGAAATTAATATAAATTATCCATGCAGGAAAAATACATTCTTAAATCAGTAGACTGATGCTTTATTAAAGAGGAAAAAGCTTGCTTGCTCACCAAGCAAAAAAAGCTTGCTTGCTTTTCCACAAATACTTAAATTCAGCTTTCCGTGAGAGCTAAGGTGATACAGCATACTGGTAGTAGCTATGATTTATGTATGGATTTTTGTGTATAAGCTCGATATCACTTGATCACAGGATGTTGCAACAAGGGGCAGTAATTGAGCAAATCAAGGAATTTAGAATATTACAGTACTAGACTTTCTTTCCTGCTTTCTGTTCTTTTTTCCCATCTTTATGTAAAATCAGAAAGTGATTGAATAAAAGGTATCTAGGAAGTAGTGAAAAGCAACACAGAGCCTGAAGATTCTGAGATTTTTTTAGCTGCCGTAGGTGGAGACTTGGGAAGTTTTGTAGCAGAGGAACGTGATGTTCACTTTAATTTTAAAATGTAGTTAGTGAATGGATGGCATTAACTTTTTATAGAGACAGTAAAAAACAGTGATGGCAGTGCTGAAATTAGTAACCTTTTTACAAAATATCTCACTGTGTTACTCTATTTTGCCCTCTCAGAATTGGCATGGAAGTAAAATGTGTAACTCTTACCAGTTCTTGGCTTATATGGAAATCATGTTCAACTGTTACACAGCTAAATAAGAATTAAATTCTGGTAAATATTTTTCTAGTATTTCATGTCAACCTCACAGGCACATATTCACAAAGGTTCTAACTTTATAATGAAGTAAAACTGAAATATTTCAAATACATAAACATTTTTGATACTAATCAGTATTCCTTGGTTTGTTGTATCATTGTCAGGATACTTACCGAAGACGCCAGATGCAACGTACCATTACCCGCCAAATGTCTTTTGATTTGACCAAGCTGTTGGTTACAGAGGATTGGTTCAGTGATATCAGTCCTCAGACCATGAGAAGATTGCTAAATATTGTTTCAGTGACAGGTAAGTGTGGCATGTTTGTGTACAGTAAATGGTATGGTGTTTTGGTTGCTTGTAGTTACACTCAGACTTCTTAGTGTGTAAACTGAATTTAACAAGCCAGTCCATGTGCTTATTTTGAAAATTCTTCCGAAGCAAACTCTTCTAGAGTGCAAGCAAAGATTATAGACTGTTCTGTGTAGAATTAAAAAAGTAAATAATATTTGCTGTTTCGTTGACTTCAGTTGGGAGGCAAATGATTCTAGTCTACATTTTTAGGAAGTTTTATATTTTTTTAATTTTGAAGTGGGATAATAAAACACATTTTTCAATTTCATAATACTCTAATGTGAACAGAGCTCATAGTGCTGGTATCTTAAAAGGTAAACTGCAAGGCAAACCCAGGTATATATCCTTTACATTTTTGCTATGAATATTTAGAGTCCTTTTCCTCTAAAAGATTGTCTGGGGCCGATGAAAGCATTTTATGACCTGTTTTCCTTCAACAAAGTGGAAACAACTGGAAAAGGACTTCTGGAAGTTTAATAAAATCATATTTCATGTAGTAAGTGAATGGGGAATGATTATTTACTGTCTTTTCTATTACAGACGCTAAAAGGTACTGAATAGCCTTACAGCTAACTCATTCAGAGCAAACAAAAGGAGTTACATTTTACACTGTATATAGTTAAGCACATAACTGCAACAGTATCATATGGATGTGGGAAACTTACATGGATTCGGAAACAATTAAATACCTGAAAAGTAAAATTCATCAAGTGCTAGTAGAAAGCAGGCAGTGAACCACAAATCACCAGGGGCTGGAATAACAGAAGAGAATATTATTTTTCCCCAGGCTCTGAAGCTTTTACATAAGCATTTGCTATTGTACAGTATGAGGCTTCTGGGCAACGTGGACCTTTACTCAGAATTGGCTTGACCTTTAACTAGAAAAAAATATCCTGGCAAAAGCTTGACCTTAATTTCAGTGTCCTTAACTCATTTTTGCGTTGATGTGAAAGCCAGTACCAGCTTCTTCAAAAGGATCAAATTTCATGTTTTCTTTGTTCCAGGCTTTGTATTCTGAATGTCTGTGATTAGGATGTGGACCCCTGTAGAAAACTGCCATTAATCACCAGGTGCTGGTGAAACACTTTTTTACTATGACACTGAACAAGCTCTGGCACAGGTTGCCCAGGGAGGCTGTGGAGTCTCCATCCTTGGAGATATTCAGAAGCCATCTGAACACAGTCCTGGGCAGCTGGGTCTGGGTGGTCCTGCTTGAGCGAGGGAGTTGGACCAGAAAACCTCCAGAGGTCCCTTCCAACCCCACCCATTCCATGATTCTGCAAAACAAATAATATTAACAGTTTATAGAACTAACTGGAAAATGTAAGGCATTCACAGATATGTCAAATGTATTGTCTTTAATACTTAAAAATATTTTAGTACTATCTAGCATGTATATTTAATATATTAGGTTAGGTTCATTAGATAGGATGGGATGCAAACAGGAAGGTTAATTCAGGAGAGCTTGCCACTGATAAGCAAGGTTATTGGCTCATAAAATAATGAGTAGCATAATGATTGAACAGACAGTAAAGAGTTGTTCTACCTGTGGCTGAGTTTAGGAAAGGACAAATAGTGCCTTAAAAATTTGAAATAGCTAGTTGAAAAAACATTGCATTTTCTAAATGGATATTTCTGCTTTTGTTTTGTTTCTTTTCTTTTTATCTAGTCTTGCTTGCAATTACAGCTTTCCCATTGACCCATTAGGTATCAGTGGTGTCTTTAAGAAGAAGCGGTGCACCTTTGAGCTCTTCCCCAACAAATTGATCCTAGTCACAAGTTCCTACATTACGCTTTAAGGAGGCTTTTGGAAGATGACATTAATCCTGTTCTCTACAACTCCTGTGCTATAGAACTCTTCTTCTGAATAAAATGAATTACTTGTTTTTATGCCACTTCAGCTCTTTTAGTCTGAGTTCCTGGTTTTATGATAAAGAATCTCACTAAATGACAAGTAGTACTGCACTGTACAAATGGAGAACAAAGTTAATATTACTGCATTTTGAAGGAAAAGAGTTCTGCTCTTGTTTCGTGGTCATTTCAATAATAAATTGTCACAAGCTCTGGGTTATGTTAATGAAAACAGAATCTCTAAAAGTTCTAATTTCAGTAAGTAAATTTGATTGCTAGGAAGACTACACTATGATTCTACCGATAATACTAGGAATAAAAGATTATGTTAAATGACCTTTGTCATTTCTAGAAATACAACCTATGTCTTTCTATGATAACATTTAATGCTTAAGTAAAAATTATTCTTAATTTTCTAATGAGATCTGGATCATTTGAGAGAGAGAATTTTGGGAAGAAAACTCACAGATACAGAAATATCACAGTTGCCTGCAGCCATATCAAGGATGGGTTCAACAGATTTGGCATTAAGTCCTGTGTTGGGTGATTGTAGCCACATTGCCTACACCAGGTGCAGTTCAGAAATCAGCCTGTCTCTATTGCACAGCACATAGCTGGAGCTAAGAAACCTGCTGCAACCATCTCACGTCTCACTGAGGGTGTTTGCTTTACCAATAGGTGCACAGGGTAATAATACGGGCCAAAACCAAACTGATTCCTGCCGATCCATTTGGTTGCAGAAACCTGATACAGCGGTATCAATGTTGCATCCACTGCCCAACTTAAGTACTCCTACATGCAGTGTTATTTCCAGCATGTCACAAGTAGGTGGAGCTGTTTCAGGTCTGGTACAGTGCCAAGGTGATCATCTCAGTAGGAAGCGTGTGATACAAGGCCACAGTTGTAGGTCTCTGAGCTGAGGTTCAGCTCTGTCAAACCAACCTGGGTAACACAGAGGGGTTGGCTGTCTCCGCAGTTCCATGCCCAGTGCTTGCATAGTTTGAATTGTCCTAATTTGCCTTCAGTCAGATTATGAAGAATTAAATGTAAATGCTGTTCTAAATTAAGTAAAATAATTCATGGCTTATTTTCTGCTGTTACCTTAATGCTAGTATAATTAATAGACAAGTGTTAATATGTCCTTTTGCCCATTTTCCCCTGCTTTTTCCCTTTTTTAGTGATCCTTCATATGTGACAACAGACCGAAAATTCTGAACTAATCTTTTAAATAAAAGTGCAGCCTCTTAGCATTGTCATTACATTTTGTAGCATGAAATGTCTGGTTTTGGCAAATTATAATGCAGATGTGAAAGTATAACGAAATCACAAACTGTTAGTTGTAAAAGCAAACAAAAACCCTGCAAGAACACTTTTAGTGTACTATAATCTGTAGTTATATATGATGATTTCATGAACAGCTTGATGAGCTGGGCCTTCAGGCTGCAAGTTACACATCGTCACCAATATTAATAACCCAATTCTAGAAAACTTGCTAAATTTGAAATGCATAAACTATAGCATTAACTTCTGCTCTGTTTTTTAATATTAACTTTACTTGTAATTCATACCTTGTCTTACTAACTTAAAACAATTTTTTTATAGCTTTGTATTTTACTTTAATGGCTGTTGAAGATGGCAGTTGTATGCTTTACTTGTTTAGACCATATTTCATATGCTAGTACGCAGAAGATCTTTCATAGTCTTAGCATGATTTTTGAGAAATTAATGTTGTGTGAAATTCTCCATTGAGTTTTGCTAAAGTAACTTAAGATTCACCTGCAACAGGATGATAGTAATTAGTGTTTAACCTGGAGCTGAAGTTGACAGGTTTGGAGAGTCTCATGTTCTGACCAGTATTTGCAAGAATTTTTATTAGGTTGTCAGATGGTATTTTTAGATGTGACTTGATGAGATGTGAGAGATGATTTTGAACTTACTGAGCTAAAAATATAATACCAGAAAGTTCACAGGTCAGGTTAAAGGACTTACATAGGTTTTACTTTGAGGGGGGGGAAAGGAAAAAAGACATCTTTCAAAAGGGAAAAAAAATCCCCTGTGTTTCTTCCCTTCTTCCTTGTTATATTAGGTCGTTTATTGAGAGCTAATCAGATCACATTCAATTGGGATAGACTGGCTAGTTGGATCAATCTCACAGAGCAGTGGCCGTATAGAACATCGTGGCTCATACTACATCTTGAAGAGACTGAAGGCGTTCCAGATCAGCTGACTTTAAAAACCATCTATGAGAGGTAGGTGTTATTCTGGTAATAGTATGCACTTTCAATGATTAAAATAGTGATCGTTATTAATGATTATTAGAATGGCTTTCAAACAGCTACCAGGTTGTAATCTAAAATTCTCTCAATCTTACTATCTTCTGTTAACTTTTAGAAACTTTTAAATTACTTTCATTGCTATTTAATGCACTACATACATATGTGCGCTCTGTATTAAAAACAAAGAGAATTATACTGGAATTCTTCACAGATAGGTAGCAGTGCTTCTGTCTCTTGATATTTTTATCTCTACCTTGGCCAGGGTAGAAGTTGTTTATTTTTCCCTAGTTAGAAATCTGAACTGAGCTCTGCAAAAACTGCCTTTGTTGGTAAAGATGTCTGGAGGTTTGGTGCTTAGCAGGAGTGCTTGATGCTATGGCAGTGTCTTGTGCTGCAGTTAAGGAACACGAAAGTGAAACATGACTTTCTCCATTGCTGATACAAGTTGCTCCCCAACAGAGCTGCCTAGATATTGCAACTGAGAGCAAATAATCCCTGTGTTGCCAGTGAACGTGCCTCTCCAGAACCTGGCTGCTTGTAAGAAAGGACATGTGGATTGGGACAAGTGACCTGATGACAGTGGGAGTGGAAAAGAAAGAATTTGGCTGGGAGTTGGGCCTACAGGAAAAAAGCAGAATCTGAGAATGAAAGTCAGTGGGAGGAAAGAAGGATTTGACTTGCATAAGAAATAACTGGAATCAGATGAAAAGAACAGCTGAGGTAAAGAGGGAAGACTGATTGAACAAGTTGCCAGAAAATCTAGAGACTTCACAGGGTCCAGGGAAAGAATAGAGAGAGTGAACTTGGACAGAAAATTCTGGGAAGGTGCCCTGCACTAAGAGTCAAGGAATGGGAGATGATGAACTGGATGAAGGTCTGGGATGGGCTGGAAATGGTTGAAGTGTTGAGAATGGAATTAGGATTGATTGGGAAAGATGACTGGAATGGGTTGTATTAGGAAGGGAAAGTTGAAGTGTTGAGATCTGAACACAGAGAACCCAGAAGGTAGAGGGACAAGGGTGGACTGGACATGACAAGGCTGAGGATTCAAGATGGACAAAGATGGCAAGTAGTAGACTGGAGTAGCTTCAGATTAGGGGGTTGTTGCTGAAATATCAAACTTCAGAGATAAATAAGTATGTGATTAGAAAACACTTTCCTCTAGAAAATGGATCCAGTTTCTGAGTTTTGCATTTCCTCTGTGAGTGTAACATACCTGCAAGATCATAGATAAGTGATGGGAACCCACCTCTCCATTGTGGGTTCACACAGCTAGTGTCACAAATGTTTATGTGATCAGGTAAGTACGATAATTCAGAGTCAACAAGGATTCCTTCTCCTGTCATGCTTTTCAGTACTCTTGTAGATATTTCTGACTTTATTTAGATTTGCTGTAATGCATGTTTCATAACTTTTCAGTATTTATCCAACAAACTCATTACAGTCTTCTGATTATTAGCATCCACAGTACTAAATTGCTTTGGAGTGATCAAAGTCCAAAGCTGTCTTCGAGACGTTTATATTTTCTGATAAACTAATTCAGAGACCTGAATTGTTCTCATAAATGAGCACTGGTAATTCCGGTATAAACTGATGTTAAATCTGCGGTAAACCAACATGAGGAGAAGGAAGGGACAGTCACAATTGAATGTGAATGATTTATTTGGCTTCTGGATTATTTGTTGTTAGTACAGACACTTGAACTGTTGATATTGAGTGCCAGTTGGAGTGTGTCAGGGTTTATTAGTTCAGGTGGGGAGGAGATTCATGACTCCTGCTATGCTGGTTTGCCTCTTGCTATGCAGGTTGTGTTTGGAAGTAATACAGCCACTTGAGTAGAGTGTCAATTCATAATGGACAGTTATAAACTTATAAATACATTTATAGTGTATAAAACTAGGATCTGTAATACGAAGAAACAGCAATCAACCCTGTACCATATGTTGGAAAAGGGAAGGTGATAATCTTCTTTTCAGTAAAGCTGTTTGTATTCTACCTGTAATACCAGGAAAACAAGGAAAAGGAAAGGAGGACCAATATTCAGAATTCTCTCTTTAGCAAAAAATACCAACGGGATTATTTGATATGAAAATTATAAAGCTACAAGACTGAGTTTCTTTGACTACTTAACCATTTAAAAAAAGATTCATGATAGCAATACTGCTTTATGCTCAGGAAGAGAGTTGTCTCAGCCATTTCTGCTGAACTTAGTGTATAACTACTGATGTAGTAGTGACAAAGTCTGAGATCTCATCTGTCTGGTAAGTTGGGTGATCATCTTTACCTTATGCTGAATATGAAAAGATCTGTGAACTCTTCTCTGGGATTATCCAATGCTCTAAAAATTGTTTTATCCAAAATAATCCTTTCTGTGTCATTGTTATTCTTTCTGTCTACAACTGTTTGAAGTCACTTGGCTTGAATACCTGTTTCTGTATCAGCTCAAAGTACTTACTTTAGTTCCTCTTTTCAAACTTCATTTTTCTAGTTTATAAAGCAGCTTTCCTATTTGGAGTCTCATTAATAGAACCAGATTTTGATACTTTTATAGCTTCTGTTCCTGTACTGAGTTTGTGTTACTACTTCCCTGCCTTTTATTCTGCAAGGATTTTTTTTTTTTTTTTTAAATATTTTGGTACTTTAGAGCAAGAGCAAAAATACAATTTTCATAGTATTGAATAGTTTTTGTCAAACTACTTTTTATTTTGACAGTGCCAGTTCTTCTTTGGTTTTGCTGCATTTCTGAACTCTGAGTGTGTGAGGAGAGGGGGTCTGCCTGGACATCTCCCTTGAATGAAAGGAATCTTGTAGGTTCTGTGTTGTGTAGGAGTTCCACACTCGATAACATTCTCCACATAAGGAGAATGCTCTGATATTATAGTTACTTTTCCAACTTTTAAAATACCGTGTGTTACAAAGCTTGTGAATCACCAGGATTCCCTTGCAGTGAGAACTCTCTGGTCCCTTCCTCTTAGCTGCTGACTGTGCGGGGCAGAGGGTTAACACAACAGATCGATCTGTTACAGGTACCTTCAGCTGAAGGAGTTATAGTCGGTATTTTGTGTGTGCACGGAGGGTATGACAAGTGGTAATAAAACCCATGTTGTTTTACCGCTGTATCTTTGGAGGCAGATTATAACCTGCTCTTCACCATCAGTAGAGCCGCTGCTGTAGAAGTGGGATTGAGCGCAGGAGTTGGTGGTGGTACCTGTGTGTGTGGTGATACTGTGCCGGCAGGTGGCACTAGGAGAACGGCTGTCTGGCCAGCGGGGCTCTGGCAGCTTCTGCTCCCTTGTTTGTCTTGGCGTGGTCTGTGTTCGTATTTAATGTTGGTGATCTTTTTCACTAGATGCTTTGTTTTTCGGTATTTCAAAGAATAAGCAATTCTTTCACAACATACAAAAAGTATAGTAAAATGAAAAGAATCAAGTAGTCAGGCATTAGCAAATGAAAGAATAAAAATAGTCTGCAGTTAATTCCACTCTATGTATACATTATGATATGATTTGTATGATCAGATGCTATTTTGCTTCCGTAAGACTCCTATCTTGTAACGTCTCTATCTCAATTTGGTTACTAAATAAATATACCTATATCTATGTGCTTCAATTTGATATTAAAAAAGCTAACTAATATATTCTTATTGTGAAGGATTGTTGGGGAAAGCAAATTTATGGGTGCTTTTCTGTAGATACTATGATGAATGTGGAAAACTATATTGATGAGTATGAAACCACTTCTGTCAGGAGTAGTGTATCTTTACTGTATCCTATTATGCAGAGATGGGAAAACCTATTGAATTGGCAACATTTTCCTAGGGTCTTAAAAAATCCCAAAATTAGATTTCAATTTCTGGCACAGACACACTTCTGAACAATCTTTGTGGATTGGAGTCACTTAGACTTCTCTCTTCGTGATAGGCAGAGACGCTATGTTGTAATTCTTTGATAGAGGGGAACTAGCCTGTACTTTGTGTCAGATTTTGAAAATAAAAAATGCTGAGTCTCTGGTGTTGAATTTCAGTCCAGATTCTGGAGAAAAATGTCTTTACTCTTCTTACTTCCTTAAATTGACTTGCTGTATCATCTCACTTCTGTCCTCTCACTTCCAGCCTCTCTCTTTGCTGCTCTGGATCTTTGCATGGTTTAGCTTTCCAGTTGATATACTTATTAGTACTAGTATTTACTCCTTTGGATGTATGCGTTGCCATTTCAAATCATCTTTCATCACCAGGATTTTCATGTAGTCTCTCTCCTTGCCAGGTTAAGCTCCTAATTCCGATTTCTTGTCTGTTGTGTTCTCCTTCCCATTTTGTGTTTAGGTTGTTTTGTGGTCAAGCCCACTATTGTTATTTACCACCTCTCCATCCTGGTTTAGGTTAATTATTTTTGCCATTTTATTTATAGTAGTGACACACAGTTTAATATTCCTTTACATTTATGTTGTGCATTCTCCTTCATGTTGCTGTAAAGAGTCTTCCTAATGTCAGTTTTGTGTAATGCCAAGATGGTTTGCAGAGGTTGCAAAAATCAAATTTTTAAAGCCCTGAAGTGGAATAAAATACATGGGCTTTCTGTAGATGAATTTGTAAGAGAATTAAGTTGTCAGATTAAAGCAAGTTTCTGTTGAATGTTTGCAACTGATACTTCTCAGACTTGTAAATTAGCCAGCTGTGGGATGTGCTCTCTTGTGAAGACTAAATGAAACATCCATGACATCAGAATACATGTCAGTGCCAGATCTAAATAAATGATCTGTTGGGGAAAATCACTGTGGTTTTTGTAGAGAGAAGATATGTTTCAAGAAACTGAATTCTCAACAGAGTCAATGAACATGTGAAGAAGGCAAGGTAATATTTTGAAATTTAAGAAATTTTAAGCAAGATCTTGATCTAAGAACATTTAAATGTATTGAAATTTAAGGTAATAACAGGCAAGATTACCTCAGGAAAACAAAAGGAGCAAGCAAAAGATCATA